GACACCTGTTAACATGCTAACATACTGTATCTCTAATACATCTATGAATTAAAGAGATTTCTATAAGTGATCTTTTAACAGGAAAATCTGTACTAAAAGACACTTTTTCTACAATATACTATATCTTAATCATCGTTTTTCGTGGACGATATTGTGCATGCTGTACTTTTTCTGGTTCCAGCATATGTTTGTGCATCATTTCTTGGTTAAATTTTCCTTTCAAAACTCAATTCTTATTCAATGACAGAGTCTGAAAATACAAAGAAAGCATCCCTTGAGCACCAGATCACATTTGCCGACCTTAAAACATGTAACTGCTTAAGTGGTACAAGGCAGGAAAATTAAGTGTAGTTGAGGTAAAAATATATAGCGAACCAATATCAACCACTTTTTTATAGATGTATTCTCTCACATTACATTGCACTGTATGTGTCTGTATGTACAGACAGACACAGGAGCAGACTGTTGCTATGTGCACCACATGGGAGCAGCAGCACACAGCATATGAGGCGTATGAATCCTGCAGCGTTGCCCCACTTGCACCTCCCATCACTCCCAGTAAGCCTCCCAGTGCCTCCCAGCCAGCCTCTATCTCAGCAATCCTCTTAGGCTTGACCCCACTCCACCGACGGCACCACCACAATCAGTTAATCCTATTAGGACACACACGGCTAGCTAACCAGCCGAGAGGCCGAGTCAATGATGGCGCACAGGTTGTAAACGACAAATGTAAGGGCTCCAAAGTGGGACAAAAAGACGTGGCTGCAGCAGGTTTTTTAAAATGCAAAGCCATGCCAGCGAGGGACTCCACACTCAGAGTTCATTTAACACTTCACCTGGCACAGAGCTTTATCAGAACGAGTGAACAAACTGTTTCTTAGTGAGTACATGAAATTGTATGTGATGTGAAACTAATTTGCTAAATAATCAAGCACACCTCACCAACATGGAATATCCACTGATGGAGAATTATAAAAGATACTAAATCATATGTTAAAACCACAATGCAAAGTTCCTCCACCTCACACATGATAAACAGACAGATTTCAAAGACTGATATATTTATTTATTTTCACTCTGAGAGCGCTTCATGTCCCTGAAAATAAAACACAAAATTAAGCAATACTTGACTTTATAATTTGCATATTCATAGATTGTGGTATTTTTAATGAGGTAGGAGTAGATGACTTTTTAAGGATTTTAATGGAAATTATACTTTTATATATTCATATATGTCTAAATACATGTCTAGAGGGGATCTTTAAATGTATGGGCCCATACAGGTGATAGATTTATGTTTATTAACATCAGTCCTAGTGTAGATTTTAATATGCCAAAATATTTTTGTTCTTTCCTCTCTTTGGAATAATGGATGTTGCTCAACAGGAGTAGTTAATTTCATTATGTCCAACCCTAGGAGGTAAAAAGAGAGAGACAAAGAGAAAAACAGAACATAACAGATTTTCGCTGCAACCCTGCCAGAACTCAGCTCTACACCGGGAGTCATTTAGCAACAAGAGGATGGCTAAAAAGCAGAACTGCCTTTATGTTCAGGCATCGCTGGGCTGAAAAGTGCTCATCACAAGTTAGCTCGTCGAAACGCCCTCCAGGAGCTTCATGTTTCTTAATTGCAGAGCGCTGTTGCCATGGCGACATCCCTTCCCCCTTGCTGAGCCGAGAGCACATGGTGATGCTTTAGGCAGAGCTGCGAGCGGGGGGGTGACACACACACACAGAGAGACACACACACTTCCCTCAGTGTGTAGAGGAATATGTAAACAGCCAGAGCAGCCAGCTATGGAAATGACCTCCCCTAGTGAAGACATTCAGACTCCTCTTCCCATCCCCAGAGTGGAGGCTGGGTCTCTTTCTCTGCAGGTCTGATGCATTAGTAAAGCAGTAAAACAGAAAGATCGCTCCCCTGTAACACTACATATCTGCATTTTTTTTTTTTTCGTCACGCACAACCAATTAGTTCAGCTAATGGACAGGAAATGATTGCTGATCAGGTCCCACTCACTCATGGTGTGAGGTTTAGAGGTGTAGATTACACACAGCGTGTTGTCTGCAAAGCTCAGAATGACATTTTCTTTGTGGATGACTTCAATGCAGGTGTGTCCAGTCAGGTACTGATACTGTAGCTCATTTACAGCACTTGAATGAGTTTTGTCAATAAAAACATGTAAGCTGTGTGTTCTGTCAAACTGCCACAAAGAGAAAAAAACAACCCTAAATTGTCCTAAAATGCAAAAAAGCCCAAAATCATACAGCTGGCAAAAAAAGGAAAAGGCCTATAATCAGTATCGGTACACTCACACACAAAAAAGGCTCATTTGTGACCTTTGATTTTCTTTCTAGAGCACACCGCTGGACCTGATTGAGACTGGAAAGGGGCTGAAGTTCCAAGCAGAGCGCCCCCACCTGGTCAGCCTGGGTAGTGGACGGCTGAGCACAGCCATCACCCTGCTGCCCCTGCCCGAGGGTGAGACACACCAGTTAGCTTCAGAGAGTGCCGTAGAGGCAACAGCTGATGTCAGTGTTAGAAAATACACTTGTGAAGTCGCTCTTCTTATATTACTCATCACTCTTGTGTTATTCGGTTGGTAAACATGCTTACTCAGCAGTCATACTGTAGTTATTATCACATTGTTGTTTCCAGACTTTATTGCAGGCTTTTTATTGTGGTTTGGCTTTATTATGTTCATTTTATTTTGATGATTTTATTACATTTACAGGCTTTTACAAAGAGCCACAGCACACACGCACTCTCCCCGGTGACCTGACCCTGTTATCACCTCTATATCTATCTTTCGTCCTTGTCTGTCTCTTTGTGCGAGCTGCGGGCAGTTCATCGTGTGTTTCTGTCTGGCGACCTCTTGCTCTTTGTTCTGCCTGTTCGTATTATGCCCTTTCTGTCTGTCTGATTGTCTGTCAGTACCTCTGTGTCTGCTGGCCTTCCTGTCTCTGCAGGCTGGTATGCAGGGAGATTCCTCAATCAGAGGTTTCGTCCTGGCCGGGAAAGTGTGTGTGAGTCAGTGTCAGTGTGTTACACCTGTGACAGTTTACACTACTATTGTTACTACTACTCAAGGACGCCATTGTCCCGCTCACTTTTATAGTTTCAGGTTGATATTACTAAACATCTGTAAACATTGTTCTCTGGTTGCTCAGCCTCCACAGTCCAGATGAGAGAAAATCTGAGCTGATAAAGATGCCGACACACCCGTCTGAGTCGCCTTCAGTTCTAACCGTGCACTCAAAGCGTCAGGACTAATGAGCAGCAGTGAATGGTGCAACAAGTGCTTCACTTATTTGCTCTGCGTTTTGCCTCTTAGGTTACAGCCTGTAGGCTGCACTTCATTATTGGTGGAGGCATAGATGCTGATTTATGTTTGAATACCACCATGGTGATGATTGTCACAAAATCTCTTTCATTGTACATGCTACCGTGGATATAGACACAAATTACAGGCTACACCATACCAGCACACAGTCTTGAGAGGGAAGTATTTACATGGCCAGAACATAAGGCTACGTCACCTGCATGTATAATAGTAGACAGTTAATGCTCTTTGTACTAAAGTTAGTAGTAAAGATTGTGTATCAAAAAGTATTGGGTATCGGGGGGGTGCCCTGTAGGACACCTCGTAGAGCTGGCACCGCATGTACCGAGGCTGAGTCCTTGCTGCAGTGGCCATTGGCCTGTAACCCTTTGCTGTGTGTTAACCCCTCTCTCCCCACTTTCCTGTCAATCTTATAATAGTGTCTTATAATATATCTTTATAAAGAAACGCACAAGAAACTGCCATATTTGGTTAAATTGTGGTTGTTAGACAAAATTGCAAGATTGTGCAGAATTTTCTGGAATTGTTTGAATTTGCATTAATTGTTGTGCTTCTTTCACAATGTAAGCTTACGGAGAAAAGTGTTTTTGGGCCAGTATGCATCACGTGATGGACACCATTGCTATACTTACATGGTTGAGCCCCTGTGTCAAACACACACACACACACACACCCCCAAACCTACATACTTGCTATTACTACTAATTATCCTAATCAACTAGACCTGCAAACATTCATACTGAGATGGTAGTGCATTATTACGTTAATCTGTCATGAATCGGTCATTGAATCGACATAGTACTGATCAATTCCACAATATATTCTGTATGTCATTAATCACATTGAATATTGTATCTTAAGGGCACCACTTAACATGTTACTGTAACTCCTTCAGGCCGGACCACACTGGGTCATGGCCCCATGGACATCAGCATCCAGGGCCCCGGGGTGGCCGCCCAGCACTGCTACATAGAGAACAGGTCAGGGGTCATCACGCTGCACCCCTGCGGGAACCCCTGTGCCATTGACGGGCTCCAGGTCACACAGCCCGTCCGTCTGTCACAAGGTAAGAATCAGTCTTAACATCTGCCCCATTATGCACTCTGCTGTAGCTAGATGGTTCCTGTTACTGCATTTTTGGTAACACTTTAGCTGAAGAGCAACCAGATTGTCGGCAACACTAAAATCAGCAATTTAGTTTATTTTCATATTGCTTCTGCCTTGTATGGATTTCCATTTTCTGCACTGTAGAGGAAACATTACAGGAAACCGATGAGCTGACGTTAAAGGATGTGTGCTTTCTGATTGACTCAGCTGTAATTTCACCTGCCTACCGATGTGCATGATCCCAGTTCATCAGCCCTCGGCCTGGTCAATGAAAATGCAGCGTAAGAGCCGGCAGGTCTATTCAATAAAATGCACAGTCTGAGCTTTTAAACAGCCATCGATTGAAGAACAGCCCGAGGTTCCTGTGTTAATAAGTTAACAGAGTGAACTTTGCAATGCTCAGGCATGCAGATATTGAAGAGGCAGACAGAGAGATGAATTGATTTTCAATCTGACACAGCCTGGATCTTAAATTGGCCGCTGTGGAGAATTTTACTAAAATGATCCTCTGGGATTGGCATTTTAAAGGTAAAGGATTCATAGAAGGCAAAGCCTCCTGGGAAAGTGCAAGCTAAGGCAAAGGTTAACCAGAAGCCTCGTCTGTCTATAACTCAAACCCACAGAGTAGAAAGTCACAAGATAATGGAACTGAAAGGATCTTGCTGAAAGAAGCCAAGAAGTTTGATAAAATCTCAGAAGATCGGGGTTTTAAAATGTTGTAATTTAAACTCTACATCGGTCCCCACACTCATTTCTTTAGGTGTTAGTTTTCAGACCAGCAATGATAGAAACCTGGACCGTTCTAAGCCTTGGACAAAAGTGAGACTCCACATGATACCTTCACACTTTCAATAATCATCTAATCACAGTATTCTGGACCAAATGATTTAGAAGCAAAATAAAAAGTAAATACAACATACCTGACATTAAAAACATCAACAGCACTGTATATACCCAGATTTAAAGTTTGGGACTGACACTAGAAAAAAAAAGTTTCATCTGAGACACATCATCTGTATATTATATATCAGTTAGGCGAGTGGGATCATTGTGTGGTGTGCAGAGAGGAAGTAAAACTGTAAACCGTGTAACTGTTTTGATTTAGTCATGGAAATTCATAGAAGTTTACCCCAGAGCCTCAGAGGGACATACTCATCATTACTCACAGGATGTGAACTTCCCTCTCTGCTGCAGGGATCACACACTGTAGTGTTACCGCTCATCCTCATAGAGGTGTTCACCAATACTAATCCTAATAGCACAGTCAGTAGACACTGCATGGACTCATAACATTCCTCTCTAAATGCTCTCTGCACACAGTATCCCGCGTCCTGTGTGATGATGATGTGTTATGTGTAGGAGAACACGTGTGTTGTCTGTCAGTGTGTCCCTCTGTCTTTTGGAATTTCAACCTGGACTCTGGCTGGGTAACCTGAGCGGGGACACAGAGCTATTTATACTGCCCCCTCTACCCCAGACAGATCCGACTTTAGCCCCAGAGAGGGTTTCAGGTTGAAGAATGAGTGTGAGGGTAAAGCAGAGTCCACTGTCAGGGTCCAGGAACAGTTGGAACGGACAATGAGTTGAAAGGGAAATAGTTTTGGTTGTTCACACACAGGCTAATATAGATCTAACTTTACAGCAGGAAGGAGATCAGACATTATTGATTACACAACATCTTACTTACCACTCCCATGAGTTGTGTACATTATATGAGTAATACACTGCAGTGCACTTTCCTAGAAGACAAGTGAAGTACTGTATGCATCAAAGGAAGCTATGACTCCACTCTGCTGTGTGTCACAGGTAGTCTAATGCTGTCTGCATTCTGTACTTTTTACAAATAAGTAGTCTGGTGACGGCTTCAACTTGTCTGTGTTACGATTCATAGAAGACCAAGCAGCAACAAGTCTGTATTACAAAATGCAAAAGTGCTTAACAAGCGTTTAGCGGTAATCCGCCCGGGTTTACATAAATCAGAGGAGCCGGTGGAGGGAAATCCTGACAATGAAAGGGCGTGTAAAAACTAAGCCAGTTTGTTCAAAGCGAGATGAGCTGATGTTTTAAAGGGATAACGGTTGGTTGGCCTGATTCAACCTATCGGAGGGAACACAAAGGGAAGAGAGGACTCAGGTGGAAATCTCAACATTAACTGAGGAAGACGTATAGATAAACCAGTTTCTGCCTAAACACCTAAACCCGTTTACACTGTGAACGGAGTAATAACTGATGACTGTAGACACCATGAAGTATTCCAACTACATATACAGACACACAGTGTAGGTATGAAGTACCCAGCATGAAGGTTAGTACAACTCATGAATTATTATTTAATAATACATAGTTTAAAGTTTAAGGTGCACTCCTTCAATTTTGCACATCAGCTTTAGTTTATAGTCACTAGGCCTCTGACAAACAGCTGTATAATGTTAATGTGCGGCTGTGAAAGAGCGTCCTCTAACACAGGAAAGTTACTGTGATGATGTCATAGTGATGTCATCAGGGTTATTTTTACCCATTCTGTGTAAAAACTCTGTCTTTTGTGAGTGTATGGATGTTTCATTATAAATCACTGCAGATCATAAATGTGACTTTATTGGCTGCCTATAGTGTGACAGCAATAATCGTCTCATACTGGGTCAAATACTGTACTTAAATAGAGTATTTCCATTGATTGCTAGTTTATTTTTATACTCTACAGTACCTTTCAGTTGGAAATATTGTAGTTTTTACTTCAATATTACTTCAGTATTACTTTATATTGACAGGTTTTAGTGACTTTGCAGTCTAAGATTTTGCATACAAAACATATGATGGGCGAATAACACAGGATGTATTGCACTAGATTTAATTATCAGTTAAAAGTGCAATACATTTTCTTATTTTTTAAGTTAAAAATGGTTTTAATGTACAGTTGAGTTTCATTTTCAAATGCTATAAATAACGAATTAGAATGGGCTGCTGAATAAGATACTTTTCTAAAATAATCATCAAATTACTTAAATATAATGATCTATTTTTTTCTATTGATACGGTAGATACCAAGCTGTACATTTCCCTAGTAAGAAAGGAAGAGAAAAGTTAGACTTTTACTGAAGTAAAGGATGTGAACTATTATTATAGTATATGTCTGTGGTTTCATTAAGAACACCATGACCCTATATAGAGTCAATAGGACATATTAGCATATTATAATAACCAAGCAGAAATAATCTGATGCCACACACACACACACATACATCATATCATATTTAGGTTAAAGTTCCTGGAGGGAACACTTATCCAGAATTCTCCCTTTAATGTGTATTTTTATGGCTTCTAATACCTGAGGCTTCACCTTTGTTCTTTTATACAGTGATCAAAGTAGGACAAGAGAGAGAGAGAGCCACACCTTGGCATGCTCTCTCACTCTGGCTCTCACTCCAAATCAGCTGTACGCACATGACAGGCCGGTGGTTGTCAAAACAGCATAGACTCAATTCAGCCTGACATCAACATAACCAACAAATCATTATATCATCATAACTATTGATCAGTTAAGATCCTCTATTGTGAATTAAGAAGAGTGGGTCCCAGTGGTAGCTACACCCCCCCCCCC